TGTTTCCGGACAAGTGGAGCGCCGAGATTTCGTTCGGGAACGGGGTCGCGGATATTTTTCCGAGATCGCATCGCTTATAGCATTCCACGTATTCTGGTATTTCGGAAGCGGTTGCGCCATTCGGCACTCGGCGCTCGGAGATGCGTTGCGAAACGCGCGCAGGAAGCGGCGCGGAGGTGGCGCGGACCGCACTCGCCGCTCTGAAATGAGCGTGATTCATGCGGACGTAACGTTTGACCAATAAATAATTGTGGTCATATAGGAAATTTATGATAAACTTGCGGTCGGTAGGTCACGTACGCCAGTCGCGGTGTCGCATCGGTGGCGTGACGGGCGCTGAATGCGATTCCGGGATTATCGGATGGGTCCTTTCGCTTTCGGCAGCGCGTGCGCCGCGCAACACCCAAGGTCGCGGGCCGTTCAACTCGGATGCGACCGCGCTATTGCGACACCGAAATATGTAATTGTAGAGGAGCCGAGGCGCGTTTGGCAGCGGTCGCCGCGCGCAACTAGGTCGCCCGCGGTTGCGCAATCGCTCTTCGTACGACAGATGGCGCGCACCGTATACTCTCTTCCTTATACGGGAACATGATGTGCGAAACAAAGGAAAAATATGTTTACAGCCAAGATTACGATATACATCTTTGGAACATATAGAGCCCCTGGACTCTTTCCTGGGAAATATTTACGTCTACTCGACACTAATGCAGGCTCTCAACGACCAATATCTCATTGGAATCATTAGTAATTTAAATTTACATTGCTTAAATACAACACAACTAACTAGTCGATAGAAACCACAGTTGTAGTTTCTATAGACTAGCTGTGTTCGATTGAGAGACAAGACAAAAATCTAATCTCTTCACTTCATCAAGTACCCAACTGATATAAAACCTATAAAATTTTCCTGACTATCCATCCACGGCTGATATTTACACAACAGAGCTAATCGGCTTGAAGTTTCAGCACAATGCAGCAAGCAAACAGTTCTTATCCCGTTTATTTTAATGGATTGGTTCTGGATCGAGCGCGTGAATTTAGTTCTGTTTGTCGATAGATCACGTTTTGTGATTCAATATGAATAATTTTCACAAGCACACATAGCACGTGTCTCACTTCGAATATTAAATTCTACGTTTTGTGCGGATCGTTTGAATAGAGAAGCCGTTGGTAATGGCCGGTTCGAAGGCGTTTTGTGTCGTGCGCGCCACGTTTAGAGTCCGTAATGGAAGTTCGCGAATGTCAATAATAACGTTCCGGTCCCCCGGCGGTCGACGAGGCGAAAATAGTCGCCAACTATTAATACGAGGCGAGTCGAGCGCTAGCGCTGCAGTGCCCTTGAAACGGGCCGATCACCTCGCGCTCTCGCTCCCCTCTCCCTCCCAACCCGTCGCCCCCCCCCCGCATTAGACGCGCACACATGCGCATGCGGCTATCGCGATGCAGCTCCGCGGAATACGCGCTGCGATCCTTTTCATTTCCATTTCGTTTGCGAATGTCACATTGACGGCTCTATGTTTACTCCGTGAGCTGAATGTTTGAATACATAGAGCTGGTGGATATGTGGTTGTGTACTTCAGATAACTTGTTTGACAGTTTTTTTAATTTCTTTTCATTTTCTTATAAGATTCTTCGTTATAAAAATGTAGACTTATCTTTTTGCGTAACAATCGAAGGTGGAAACGCGGTGACTCCTCATATCCGGGCCGGGTCGTGACCCGAGATCCTGCAAACGGATATCGGCCCATTTGTTTAAAGTCACGACACAGAACCTCGCTATGAATTCCGTATCATAGACCCACCATTGTTTATTCGTACTGTATGTAATCTTGTTATTGTTGAGAATATCGAAAAGTGGTATTTTTGAGTTCGGAGGCAGGCTAACTTGACGCAACTGTTTACTGCACACAATGAAGTTCTCGCACGTTGCCTGAATCCACACAATTTGGCAATCGGCAACATCCATTCAAGGTTTTCTTTGTTGTAACGAAGCCGGCAAAAGAGTTCAGACTAGACCTAGATACGAGGCGGTTTCTCCGAAGCTATTTATCGCGTTCTCAGGTCAATACGAATCGTGCTAATCACGGCGTATTCAAAACGTCGTGTTCTAATTGCAATACGAAACGGGATCGTTCGTTTGGCAACATTTCACGGAAACACATATGTATATTCAGCCGTGTTTATCGACACAACAGATTAGTCTCGCGCGGCACATTAGCAGAGTGAGCGGCAACGTCAGAACGTGGAGCATACGCGCATACAATCAAGTGCTGTAGTGACCAATGCGAGTAGGAAGGTCGAGTAGTTTCGCCAGAGGCTGACAATGGCGCGCCGGTACCGCCGCTCTTGCCCAATCTCGACGTTTGCAACACCGAAATTTCGTGTGTGCCGCGTTACAGCAATGGCCGGTTTACACCTCGCAGCACCGCATATTCAAATGGCTTCCACGTTACATTGTGCTAACAAATGAAAAAGGTTGCTTCGCTTAAATATATTTTATTATTTTTGACGGTACGCGCAGAAAAGCTCAAACCTTGGAAAACCAGGTTTGGTGCAACAGATCTGCATAGCTTGGTAATACCTACCCATAAGAGGACAACATGTCCTACAGCCGTTGAGAATAGACAACAAGATGCGTCACTCATTCATGAACTATTTCAATGTTCACCACATTGACCGCGTTATCTTTTTTAAATAATTTTCCTCGTCATGTTTTGTTTATCTGACGTAATGAGTAACACCGACGAGGCCGCAATGATGCATTATTTACTGTTGATTAGACATAGTCTTATTTCCTATGTAGAAGCAGAAGCAGAGTTGAGCTTATTCGTCATATGTATTCGTTGAAGTTTTAAACAACACGTAAAGTTGAAGTTCTTACATATGTATGAAACGATTTCCTCCTGATAGAACGAGCATTTATTTACGTGAATCAGTTACCTGACCAGAAACCTAATTTGGAGCATTCCCGTGGCGTGTTCGCATCCGTCAGCTTAGACAAAGGGAGCCTAGCTCCGTCCTACAAGGCATTTAAATGCATTACAATCGAAAGTGCTCGTTTGGTATGCGTCGCCGTACGTACGTACGTACGCGTCTCGCATACAGCTAGCTGGCGGTTCATCACTAGTTTTTTGCATCTTTATATTAGGAGCACTGACCTTGCACAATGTCAAATAGTTGCGGACGAGCTGGCGTCGTGCACGGTGCAACGCTGTGCCAACTCGGCTCGTTTTATACGGATCGCCGTTTATAACGTTTTCGTTTCGCGGAAGCTATCTTTTTGTGCATCAAGATATTTTGGTTTTATTGGACACCAAATTAAGGCTTACATCGATATCATGTAAACGTCGAGACTCTTTACAATATCCAACAGAACAAAATATAAAAATACGTAAATGTAGTTTTGAATTGAAAAAAAGACACCTCATCAGATATAATTCAAACAGAGTTAAAAAAAAAAAACCTCGTTATGGGTAATACATTCGGCCAAAGTAATACAATTATTGTATTTTTATCAGTCCTTGTTATTTGGACGTTTTGAAGTTGGTAAAAATTACGTATAAACATTTCGTTACAGGTATATAAAAGCATGTTAAAAAGAGATCAATGATTGGCTTTGATATAAAAATCATCGGTTACTGAATAGTCGCTTCAAGTCGTTATATTGAGGAGAGAAACAGCGCGATACGTAGCGTTTCGGTAAATGTTTTTTATCCATAAATCATTTTACTGCAATTGTTTGTGTACTGTCGTAATCAACATGAGTAATTGTATTTCCCGTGTTTGCTCGATATACGTTGTTTGTCATCATTTCGGATGCGTTCACGGCACGTTACTGTGGCCGATATAACTATGTATAAAAAAAAACATTTTGAAATGTATCCGCGACAAAATTTTCCGCAACAAAGGTACATAAAATGTGATAACACCTGTCATCATCGTATCATCAAGAGAACCCTTGAGCTAAAGCGACTGGAAGTGAGCGGTTCGGATCCAGGGTTTTCCTGCTCCCTTTGACGCACACAATCATCAAGACAAACATGTATTTATTTATCTTGTACGCATGTGTGAAATATAAATTTTGTTTGAAGCGGTTGTAATACGTGCATTTAACGATATAGTCTCGGCTCGGTAAGAAGGCCGGTTGTTTGGCCGTCGTCCAGAGTGCATCACACACGCCCCCGGAAGCTCTGATAATGTTTTATACTGCATATATTTAGATAAAGTTGGGACGTTGCGTAGCGATGCGACCAGCCGCTCAAACATTGTACAGATTACATTTGTGTGTCCACCACAGTATCCAGGTGGTGGCGGTGACCAGAGACCACAACAACGCGGACTCCGCAGCCCGTTTGAGACCTCATTGTAAAAACACCGAATTTTTGTACCCAATAAACGTTCAATTGTGAATTTACGTGCATAACGACCGACGGACGTGAATGACAAAACCCATTTCAGTGTCAAATCAAGTTTGAAGAAAGACGTAAATACGAATCATTTAAAACCTTTTTAATCGATACGACGCGACGTGACATTTTAGCAATGCACATACGCTGATTTGAATATGTATTTCGTCGAATTCGACTCGTTATCCCGGTTGGCCCGCGGTCACCTTCCGGGTGGATCGTTAGCCGCCGGGTCACCTCCAAATCGGCTCCGACAATACTCGCGCTATTGTAACTATTCTTTATCTTATAATTCGTATTTATTGTTTAGTATTTTTTTTTTTGTTTTACATGTTAATGTTTCGTTTTCGTTTCGCTTCTGTGTTTGATTGTGAATGTCTCTGCTGTAAAATGATTCGAAATGGACGAAGCTATTGGGATTGCACGCGACGTAGTAACCCAGTACTTATTCAAATGACCATCATCACCAAGTAAAAAGCCGTCAATACATTTGGACGAGCTTAAATTCGAAATATTGGTTCACGGAGAGTATGGCTTGTCTCGTACCATTAAATTGATAGAAAACTAGAAAATTAAACAGTGCGGTCTACTAACCTGGTGGTCGAGGATGTGCAGCGGCGTGCTGCAATGTGGAAGCGATCTGATGATGCTGGTAGAAGGGCAGGAAGGGGGCGTGGAAGGGCGCCGGCGGAGGAGGTTGAAGTCTCGTCTTCAGGTCCTCAGCGGATCCTGCTCCGGACGAGGACGATTCCACATCCGATACCCCACTGTCCGCTGGCGAAGGTGGGAGGGAGCCTGAATAGAGAAAATAATAGTTAAAATCTTTTATATTGTAAAATACCTATAAATGTTTATTTAATTAATTTTTAATTTTTTTAATTATTATTATTAATAAAAATTGTAGACATAATTAAGCACAGTTCTTCGATTTAAATTGGTTTAAAAAAAAAAAAAAGAGTAATAAAATACGAATACATATAAATAATCTTTCATCAAAGCTGTAGGCACGAGTGCTTTATACGATGGATGTATTAAACATGTGTTAAAAAGTAGCTCTTATTATTCAGTTTATTTAAAAAAAAAACACGGCGTCGTCAAGCTATCACTGTAGTTTCAATGATAGTTATAAATCACACACGCACCTAATCACACACTCAACAGACGCATACACAAGCTCAAACGACCTCAACAAAATAATTCAGTCCAAGCACCTAATGTTATTTATAAATCGTAAAACTTGAATTTCCTCATGTTCGAAGTGTACACGAAAATATTAATTATGGTATGATATAAACAATAAAATTTAATGTAACAGGTTTTGGCGAAATCAGAGTTTTTTTTTCGTCGGATCCTCCCAGGTCCGCCGCCGGACACTCAGGTAGGCGGGTCTCACCTTGAATCGTGTCAAATGCTGCGCGTCACATCTTTAACATTTGAATGTCCGTAGGCGATACCTCGTCTTACTTAAGCCGCAACAAGAGTCCTAATAAGCATTTTCTCGGAACGTAAATTAATTAAACGGACTTTACGATGGAATCTCATCGACCTTGTTCGTCCTATGAAAAATGTTCGAACCTTCGCTTGGTTACGCTGGCATTGCCCTATAGGGCTACCCAGCTTAGGTACGAAAAAGGAAAAACAAAAAAAAAGAGAATTCGTAAATTGAATGAACCATAGGTAAAAATATTGTGAAGTAAACCAGAATACCAAGAAATACTGAGTTCTGATACTACTGCATCTTTATCCGCATTTGCATCCTTCGTCAACCTTTAAAATAGCTTTCGGTTTGTAAACCAACAAAGCTAGACTAAGAGATTAAGAAACGGAAAATTGTATATCTTATATGTTCACAACGCTTAGATATGAGAAGCAAGACTTTAGACAATAAAATTTAGAGTATGTATTTTTTTTTTTATGAACCTGGTGTCAAGTGGTTACCGGAGCCCATAGACATCTACAACGTAAATGCCGCTACACACCTTGAGATATGAGTGCTAAGTCTCTGTTTTTAAAGTACAACGGCTGCTCCACTCTTCGAACCGAAACGCATTACTGCTTCACGGCAGAAATAGGCACGGTGGTGGTACCTACCCGTGCGGATTCACAAGACGTCCTAACACCAGTAAATAGCATATGTTGTATTATGAAATTTTAATCTTAACTACACACAAAAGTTGCTAGGTTCGATGGCCTTGATAATAAATAAGATAGAACCGGTAAAAGTGTTTCTTTAATTTTTCAAACTTGGTTATTCAAATGCGAAAAAATAACCGTTAAACGCAACGTCTCAGCAACCAACGGTCATCCCAAATTTGCATCTTTGACCCTCATTATTAAATTAATCTTAACCCGGGATATAATACAAGTGCATTCAACCTGACGCACGTGGGAATATTTAGGAGCGGACATCCAATTCTAATGCAAAATCATTCTCGTCTACTTTTCTAAAAATGTTCGTGGGTCATATTGACCCTTGCGCTTTTTGTGCACCGCCGGACCGGTTNCCAACGGTCATCCCAAATTTGCATCTTTGACCCTCATTATTAAATTAATCTTAACCCGGGATATAATACAAGTGCATTCAACCTGACGCACGTGGGAATATTTAGGAGCGGACATCCAATTCTAATGCAAAATCATTCTCGTCTACTTTTCTAAAAATGTTCGTGGGTCATATTGACCCTTGCGCTTTTTGTGCACCGCCGGACCGGTTACTGAATCTTTCTAAAATGCAATTATAGTTGTACTGCGGTTTGGGAACGGGTTGTGAAAAAAACACCTAAAAATATTATTAGGGGCAGCAACATCATGCAATGACTCGCACGAAAGTATCAGAATATTTACCGTTTTTATAACGTTTAAAATTTGTACTTAAAATGAAAAATATTCGCATTATTCTGATCACGGTCGTCAAGGTTAGTCAATATAACTATTAAGACGTTTGATCGTGTTAAAAAGTGAGGAGAAACAGTTCAGCCGAAACATTATTGCCAATTGCCATTTATGATCTGGCTATATGCTTTTTTTATGCAAGGGTGGACGAGCTCACAGGCCACCTGGTGTTAAGTGTTTACTGGCCTTTGAGACAGTCCGTAGCCTCAATAACGGCACCTTTCGTTCAGCTAAAGGAAGATTACGAAGGAAACAGTACATATTACTACAAAAAAAACCCAACTAGGTATCTAAACAGGATAAAATAGATATTCATGTGATAAATTTCCTTGTATGATTTACAACAACAAAAAAAGTTTAAGTTTGTATGACTTTACTCAAAAGTTAGATAAATAAAGTTTCATTGGCTATTAAATCCAATAAAGAGTATTTATATACAGGGAAAAGAGGTCGACCGAAGAAAACATGGATGGAGTATGTGAATGACGATATGAGAGAGAGAGGTGTGAGTGTTGAGATGACAGTTGATAGAAGAGAATGGAAGAGAAAATATAGCTGTACCGACCCCACCTAGTGGGATAAGGTGGTGAAAAAGAAGAAGAAAGAGTATTTATATACACCGCAGTATTTCTCGGTGATAGCTTATTCCTTCATGCTTTGTTGTGCTTGTCAAAATCTTGTATAAAAAATAAGAATAGTTCTGTGTTAGTGTATTCTCTCTGAAAAGTATTTGGCAGTTTACTGATATTTCCGACAAACTGATTAAAGTTTTGCCACAAATTATATACAAGAAAAAAATCTAATAGCATGTAACAATTCAGAATAATGCAAACTTTTTGTTAAAGATAGGTATTCAAATACGTGTGTTTACCCCTGAATTAAATAAGAAATGTTTTCTCCTCAATTATTCAAAACAACTTCCGAAGTGACCTTACCCATTGTGCACATAATCATTAGATTGGAACTTTCTCATGACCGAATTAAATCCCTAAAAAATTTGACACATAACGGTTTTCGGTCATTTGAATATGCTTTTTTTTTCCTAGTAGAAAGGCGATCACGTTTCCTAGTCCGTTTGACCGGTGCTGTCCACACCCTTTTGTGTCCTTTGTGAACCCTTCAATGGACTCTATGGGAACCGGGAAGAGCAATGGTCAGTCCGACTATTTAAATCGAGTATGAACGTGGCGCCTTTTGTCCGACAAATATTGGGGCATTATAATATTATGGCCAGTTCGATGGGCGACTGGGGAATTGAAGCCGCTGTCTTTAAAATATCAATTTAAATTTAATATTAAACCTTTATTGATTATTAATCTGTGATGAATTATTTTGACAGAACGCCATTTTGCTTCACCTGTTATATAAAGTATATTCTCGCCTGTGCTCTGTTCGGAAACGGTCGAGATCTAACATCCCAGTTTAAAAAAGATAAAAATTACAAAAAGACCGCGGAATATTGTAATAGCACTTAAGTTGGCGAAGAGTTCCCAAGGTGATAAACAAAAGGTTAGTTCGCACCCCATACCGGTCAGTCCAAGTCTCTGAAGCACACGTTTGACCAACCGTCGGACACAAGGAACCCCAACGTCCCAACCCTTTCATCTCGCGTATCAAAATAATAATAAATTAACTATAAATAATGACTGGTCTTTCTTGGAGGGTTCAGGATCAGGTCTACCGGTCGACGAGGAATGCGGTCCCATTAGTAAGATGACACAATGAAGGATCCCTGCCTCGATCGGCTATCTTTATGGAGTGACCACTGTACGTTGCCTTTGTCAATTTTCGGCGTTAGACCATAATCCCGCGACTTAGAATTCGCGATGTTCTTTGCATATGAATACAGAATGCGGTAAGTATATAACAGTCGGGTATATAATACGGATCTTGCACGTGTTTGGGGATTAAGAGATGACGCTCATGACCGACAATAACGTTATTATTTAGCTTTACGAATGTAACATATGAAGCAATAGCGTTTTGTTTCAAATTGATTGGTTACAAACCATTGTTCTCTTAACGTAATTAATTAATTTCTATTGAAAATTGTTTGCAAGTCAATCTTAGAGCTTTGAACTGGTCTTGTTGTGAAATATGTAGTTGTAAAAGCAGTCATAGAAATCTACAGTTTGGAAATTAAAGGTTAATTTGAAATTCAATATAATTCGACCATAATTAAATCAGCACATTCCCGATTAAATTCCCGTTGTTATATCAGGTAATGATTTAAAAATCAATTTTAAAACAAAATTTGTGAACCACCCCGTATTACAAAATACGTACAATTTCACGTTTCTGGTAACCCTTCTGTTGAACTGTTTCGTGGCTGGTGTCCTTTAAGATGTTAACTTAAATTAGAATAATGTTAACATTATTTATCATAAACTTTAGACGTAGCTAACTTTTCTGATTAGTATATTTTAATATTCATATTATAAGTCTATATTCAAGATGAATGTAAATGATCTGGTGAGTGCCTTCAGTTTATTTACATAGTTTCTATAAAGGTTGTATCGGAACAATTTTCGCAAATAATGACAGTTTACAACTAGGCTCCGCTTCCCAATACGACAGAGCGAAGCTAGTTTGAGACAAGTTAAAGCCCTGAAAGTTCTGTAGTATAATCTGTCGTAGTCATCTTCAAATCTGCCAATATTACGTATCAAGCTCACCGACTCACCAAGCAGTTTCAGAAGCAACCCTACCGGGTCATAAATACTGGCGCTTCGATCAATTTGTTCTTCGTATAAATAAGAATACAAACTCCTTTGTTATTATCGAGACAGTTACGTATATATTTATTTTACATTGCGGTTTCGTATGCAAGCAACTTTGGTGCTTTGTGGCTTTGATAAAAGCGTTTCAGTAATATTCTTAAAATAGCCTTACCATTCACTGGA